GGGAAAGAAGACCAGGATATCTGTCGATAAAAGGAACTCGTTTTGCTTCTGCTCACGTCGAATTCGGAATAAATCCTTGCTTCTTCTATTTGCAAGGATTTTCCACTTTGGTTCGAACGTTGTCACCCTGCAGCTTAAGCTTTTTATTGCCCATATACGTGTGTATAACTTCTTCGCGAATGGCTGGATTATGGATACACGTGTCATTCTGTATTTTTTATTTTTATTTCCTTTTCTCCTTTTTGTCTCACGTTTACCTTCGTACTTTTATCGCGAATTGAAACGGAAACGACAAAGGCGAAGCCTAGAATAATTCAGTAGCTCGGGTTATTCATTCGATAATCCGATCAAGCGAAACGACCGAACAACAGCGGTGGAAATTAACGAAAAATATTCGTCGACTCGTCCGTATTCGCTAAATTTGAGACAATTTCCACGGACGAATTCGATTTTACGTGAACGCGGAGGTCCTTCGGCGATCGCGTCCATTTTCAGCCGAGACTTTGCCCATTCCGCAGCGTCGACGAGCTCCAACTATTTCGAGGCAATCGTTTATGGCTTCGAAACGTGCATTACTTTCCTATTAACAGCTACCCATGTTCGTTGTCACCCGTTGACAGTTTCCGGATAATTCCGTTACAATAGTTAACGGAAGTTTGTATTCCATTAAGGTGTCATGTATTTTGCGCACTTGCGTTTCTACGTCTGCAAATATCACGTTGCCGTTATTATCAGCGGAATTCTATTTATTAGTTATCTCAGCGACGATCATGGATTCGGTGCAGTGGATTATTCCAACAAGCGAAATGGCACCTCTAAACTTGCCCTCGCGAATATTCCATTTTCCATCGGGGCCCTTATCCACGCGCGATTTCTTCTCGCCGCAAGGATTCCCCCGATTCGGGAGATTCCCGCAATGGGGAAAAGGAGAGGAGAGGAGACGGGGAGGAGAAAAAATGCAATTTCGACTTAGCCAAGATAGAGGAAGGCTTCTGGCGTGCGCGGGTCGCGTATTTCGTGCCGTTCGTTAAGAAGTTCGATCAGCTCCTGATCTCGTTCGAGGGCATAATCGGGCTGTGACGTTTATTAAGCGCCGGCTTCCACGCAGAGCCTGGCCGTCGCAAATTCTTCGCTGGTCGGTCGAAATAGAACGCGAAAGTAACCGTAGAAAATTGGAAAGTTTCCGCGCGATAAAATCGGACTTAATTTTCAATAAATTCGCCCTACTCGCCCCGCGGGGGTGGCTGGTTGTTCCCGTACGTGGTGGCGGACAGCCGAAAGGGGTTGGGCAGAAGCTGGAAGGAGGAAGAAGGGTCGGAAGGCGCGGAGGAAAGGTAATTTACTTGGTAATTATAAAGTTACCAGCTCCGGCGACGCGCATAGTTGTGAATATTCAAATGCGATTACATCTATGATCGCATAAATTATACCACGCGCCCCCGTGCTTCTTGCCCCGCCCTTTGCTCGCGCGAATTTCGTCTTCCGTCCCTCTTTGCTCCGCTTTAATGCAACTTCGAAACTTTGACTCTGTACACGAGGCCCGGGGCGGTCCATCCACGTTTTTTCCCATCGACCCACGAGTTCGCGTATTTTTCCCAAGGCGGTGCGGGACTGTGTTGCACGGGAGAAAGTTTCGGCCAAACTGTTGGTCGTTACTCTTTCGATCGGCTGACCGCGCTTTCTCCACTCTCCTCTTCTCCCTCGATCGCCGTATCTATAAATGGAGATTGATTTTTCGGCACTCGGTCGATAGTGTTTGATAACTTTCCGAACTTTGTGCCTTTGTTTCCTCTTTTGACGGGCATTCCTCCTGCGTGCACGCGTAGATATGTGCGTGTACGTGTTCGTCGTGGAAAAGTTGGTCGTATCCTATCTCGTGGTAAAATAACGTTAAATGGGATTGGGATATTTTCGCGATACATTTTGCTTATCTCGGCCCTTGCGATATTAATTCATCGTAGAGGCAGCGATTACATCGCGAGAGGAGATCAAATAGTATTAGCTAATCCCGATCTAATCCAGTCTTAGAGCTTGCTCGACTTAACTCGGACCTAACACAGCCGCTCTCGAGCTCCACTCTCTGCTCCTGCAGTTTGTTGCTCCAACGAGGTATTTATAGGAATTAATTAATTCGTTTTCATAACACGGCTACATCGCCGCCCGAGGAGTCCATTCCTCCCTCCATTCTCTATTTATTTTGCATTACCCGGTCGTTCAACCCGTTTCACTCGGTCGAGTGAAGGAATTTACGCGGGATAAGAGAGCCTTCCACGGCAAGGAGATTCTTTAAACATCGCGAATACCCGGCATTACAAGCGAGGGCTGTATCGAGCGAGATAAGAGAGTTCCCTCGCCTTATCGTGCTTTTTACCGTCTTCCTCGCGAGACAACGGGGAACTGTCCACGAAACAATATTTTTCACCTTTCTTTTTCTCTCATTTTTTCCCTCCTTTTTCTTCCTTTTCTTCCGCCTTTTTTCCCCCCCTCCTTTTAAAACGCGAGGATCTCGTTAACCGTTAAGAACGAGACTCGTGCATTATACAGCCGGGCAGATAACGGCGGGCAACAAGAAGCGGTAACCGTGTTATCTTCATCGAATAATTAAGAATTGTTTAATTGTCCGCGAGGCTGCTTATCGCGCGTTGAAAAAGAAAATTCGTCTCGTAAATTGAGCGAACGCGGCTGCGAATTCGCGCCGTTCCTATCTCGCGAAGAAACTTCATGAACGTCTGTCCTGCAACTTTTTCTCTCGTCCCGAAACTATTACCGGAATTAAAAACGCGGTCCGTGGTCTCGTGTATGGCAGGTATTTCGTCGACAGATCGGTTGATTCGTAAACCGAACGCTCTCGAGGGCGACCGTGTCCATTTCCGGTACCAGTAGATCAACGACCATAAACCACACGCGGTCAACGTGATCGCACGTGTCAAGGAGTTGCTTAAACTGCACGCGTGTACAGCTGACTCGGGTTTATACACTTGTGACAGGCATGCGAATTGCTATCGATTCCAATTGCGGCGGATTCTTACCAGGTTTCGCGGTTCTCGGAATCT